TAGACAAGCAGTGAAGCAGCTCAAAACTGAAATTAGACAAATCGAAATCACAATAGCCTCAAAATTGAATTAGACAATGAAACAAAAGCCACAAAATTGATACTCAGCTACGCGGTCGACGGCCAATCGCTCACTTACCAGCGGTCCAGCAGAAGCTGCAGAACTCCAGAAGACACACGCCAGTTGGAAAACGAAAGGGAGACTGCACAGGCTGCACTGGAAATCTGCACTCCGGTAAACACCACTCCGGCGTTGGCTTGAAGAGCAGTTGATTGGTGGTCGGTGGATTATTGGAGAGTTGGAGTTGGAGAGTTGAATATTTTTGGAGATTGAGAGCGGGAAGGAGAGAGGGGTCGAGACATCGAGTGATTCGGTGAGACGACGAGTGTTTAGTAGTTTAGGACCTTAGGTTAGTAAGGTTACCATTGGGCCTCCAGAGTTGGGCCTTGTCTCATAAAAAAATTGGGCCAAAAATTAGGCCCCCTCCACGCTTGGGCTTGAGGCTCTCCTCAGGGCCGGGCCTGATCGAAGTTCGACCTCGAGTTCAGTGGCCAGTAAGAAAACCCGGACCGATTGACTCGGCATCTGATTGTGTTATATCGAGTCAAGTTAGGAGAAGTAACCTGCAAAGAGTAGGACTGGAGTTGCGGTGTGGGTAGAGGACCAGGTTCCAAATCCGGGGTAGATGAAATTGGGTTTCGAAACAGAGAAAAAGAATAGATGTCTTAGGAGGAAAGAAGTAAAGAGAAACCAAAATAAAACTAGTGTAAGAACTAGCTAGGAGGCTTGAAAATTTTAGAAAGATTTGAGAGTGAATAATAAAAATTTCAGAGGGATTTGGAAAAAGTTGAAAGATGGAGACAAAAGTCTCGAATCGAATCGAGCGATTTTTCATAAATTAAATACCCGAACGGATATTTGAATCGAGAACCGATTGGTTTGGTTCGGTTCTCGGTTTTAGGCCAAGAACCGAATAAGAACCGAATCTAAATAATTTTCTTAATTTTTATATTAAATTAATTAAATAATTTTAGTTTTTTTCTAAACAAATTAGCAAATTTAAATAATTTTCCACTTTTTGGTATTTGTATATATTAAATTAATCTTATTGGACAGCTTGTTATTTATATGTTTTTAAATTGAGCTACGTTACTTTGTAATAGTTACGAATGAACATGTTATTAGTTATATTTATGTAGTATTATTGTAAATGTTAAAAATTTTAATTATGGTACGTAAAAGAACAGAACTGAATTGAACCAAACCGAACCCAACTAAAACGGTTACATAATTGTATTAGGACCTGACGGTTCCATTTATTAAATATTCGAAAATTTTGGGTCAGTTCGATTTCAAGAGAACCGAACAGAACCGGATCAGGTCCAGCCCTAAGTTTGAAAGGATTTGAGGGTGAGGGGTTATGGCGCCATGGAGAGTGGGAAATATTTAGGATTTTAATGGTAGTGGGCTAATGGGTTTTGGGGCCAATATCAACTGAATAGTTTCATTGGAAAATGTTTAATAAATATTTATATTTTTACAAATTTTTTTGACAGAGTTTTTGCCATTGATAACTGAATAGTTTCATTGGAAAATGTTTAATAAATATTTATATTTTTACAAATTTTTTTGACAGAATTTTTGCCATTGATAATTATTTAATAATTTTTAAATTTTACTTTCAAAGTTTACCAACAAGTAATTTTTTCGTTGGTTATTATTTTATATAATTTTCAATGGAATCAACCGTTAGAAAATTCCGTCTCTATATTTAATTAATTATTTTTTTTATTTTTAAATTTTTACCAACGGATTAATAACAACATTATATTAACGGAAATTTTTCATTGCCAATTCCGTTGGTAATTTAATATTTATTTTATAAAAGTAAAATAATATTAATCTGCTGCTAATATGTTGTTGTGTTCGGTTAATAATAACAACGGAAGTTGTTTGTCATAAAATTCCGTCTTTATTGCCTCCATTTCTAGTAGTGCGCGCCACCACCATTTTGAAACCCTCCAAGAACAAACTGCACCACCACTAAAAACAACTATTTGCAAACTAAAATCATGTAAACCACCAACTAACATCAAAACAATTACAAAAACTTAGGCTAAGCAGATCAGATCGGAAGAGGAAGAAATAATACCCCAAAACCCCAACCCTTTTCCCACACAAGTACCAGTCGACATAGACATCATTGATGCGATGCTACTACGAACGATAGAGTCGACGGACTGTAGCGTTGATCGATGTAACTGCAAACTCTCAGCAACCCCCCAATGTCAATAGTGTCGGTCGGCGCAACTCCTTCATCGCTAGTCGTCGAAGTTTGAATGGGTCGTCGGTGTTCAAAGGGAGAGATGTAGAGAGAAGAAGGAGAGGAAGGGGAAAAAAATTAGGGTTTGGGTGGATGGATGTAGCTAGGTAGGTAGGGTGGATGGGTATATAGATTGATTTAATTTTAAAATATTATTATTATACCTGATTTTTGAAGAAAAAAAAAATTCAACCTAATTTTTGAATTGTGAATTTTAAAATTCTGGGTAGGTGCAATTTCCAAATTAATTAATTGGAGAGCTTGGAGATTTTTTTAGGCCGACCACATTTTTTTTATAAATATACTACGGCCCTGTTTGGGAGGGATTAGATTTTTCTACAGTAAATCAATTCTCATTTTCAACCACACATTCTTCAATAAAATAATATATTCCATTACATCAATAATTTTTTCTTCTTTTTCAATCACACATTTCCCATCATATCACTATTCAAAATCAATTCTTCCCCCAAAAATCTCTCCCAAACAAGCTCTACATATTAATTACATTAATTATTATTAATTTTATTTATCATCACACTTATATTCTTAACTTTTTTTTTCTTCATTATATCCTCATTTTAAACATTTCATTAATAAGAAAATATTGTCTTTAATCATAATTTTAGTCCAAAAATATTGTTAACGTGCTTTAAAATGATGATCAAATATTTAATCATATTTTTGTAGTATTTTTTGTTTTGTTTATTCAAAAATACAATCGACAAATGAGTTTTTTTTACTTTTTTTTTTTTTAAAGAATTTTGGAAAGAAACCATAATCATGAAAAATTTATATTAATTTGAGAATAATAATGTGATGAAAAAAATCTAAGACATAAATGTTATGAACCTTTCACACAATTAAAGTGTAGTCTAGTCATTAAAAACTGTGATGTGAATATATTTAGCCATTTGTTTTATAGAAGATTTTAATCATGCGAGAAAAATGAAAAAGACGGAAACGGGTTCATAGCGAGACTTGTCCTTAAGCCCATGTTTGATGGTTATTATTTTGAGAAAATGGAGTTTTGAGTATTATTATTATTATTTATTTATTTTTTATTTTTTTTGCGAGTGTATGGTTAAAAAGTTAAAAAAAAATTTAATTTTATGTATAAAATATTTTATTGTATAAATGTGTGGTTAAAAATAAATATGCAAATTAAATATTTTTAAAATAATGATTGTCAAATAAGGGCAAAATTTTGCATATTTAATACAACAATAAAGCTAGTTGTACAAACACGGTGGACAAACATGTGCTGCCAAAATTTGAGTCTTTGATGTAAAAAATAGCTTTTAAAATGGATGAATAGGATGTTGTCAACAAATGTTAACAAAAATTGTACAAGTAACATGATTCTTTATACGATGCATTAACTTAAAATAATTACTAAATCAAGTAGCCAAATTTAGCTAGTTATTTTAAGTCCATCATTTAACGATATTTTATTTCGAAATATGCATCGCATAATTGGTTATGAGTTCTTTAAAATGATATTAAGAACCTAACATGACCATCGGGAAATATAGCCCGAAAATAAGGAATTTCATCAATCAATTGTACATAGTACATACTGACAGATAATTTAATTAAGCATAGATGGATAATCTCATCAAAGGTGGAGTTCGAAGGCCACCAATCAAGCTTCCCTTGAAGGGATCGACCGAATCCGAGATTGATTGGTCTATTACATCTCCAATAATTGATTGGTCACGTGTTCAGATACATAAGGTTATTGACGTGATCCGAACCCCTCAATAAATGAACAGTGGTTGCATTTTCCACTCGTGAAAAACTGCCGATCACTTGGGAAAAACTTCCAGGCACACATACCGGAATTGATTGCCTCTAAGCATCCCAAAACGAGGTCATGTATTTTGGTAATGCATTTTTCTCTATATTATAAACAACCTTTCCAATTCCTTGCCTATATACTTCTCTTTCTACAAATACCTACTCTCAATCTGGAGGTCAGACGAGGGAGATTGGCCCCAACCTCTTTTTACAGGTGAGAAGGTGACAGAAGTGACTGACAACATATTGTTTTGATAAGGAAGACAAAGAGTCGTGACAGAACAACCTATATACGATTTATTAGACAAGTTCCTTCTCCAAAATCTCATCTAAAGTCCCCAGATTTCAATTTTTATGAAAACTGAACTTGAAAATTGCCAAAGAGCAGCTAGCACCGCCCTGGGGGCAGCCAGTTTGCAAAACATTACAGCATTGAAACAATCAGTCTGATAAGCACAAACACAAGAAAAACAAAATGAAATACAATTTTTTCACGCAAGAAGACGGAACTAAGCTGTCTAAACATCAAGAATTTGGGACATCAGTATGTTACATACTGCCCTAAAAGAAAGCTATATCTTGAATAATTTCGCACCAAAGCAACAACTATGCGTACACTTTTCAATTGTACAAGAATACATTTTCAGAAAGCCCAGATTGTCAATATGTTTGGGGACATGGAATAGGAGTTCGGGTATGGGAAATAGACAAATCTAATATGTTTTCACTTTCTTTTTTGTTAAAACCTCGAATTCCATATTCCATGCCACCAACCATAACCTCAAAGACGAATCAGCTCACTCACTAATCATCTGCCTCTGTCATGCTATGAGTAGATATTATTAGTCGGAATTAATATTTGATGTTGAGCTTGAAGTTATGCTCGAGTAGGGATCGAATCCTGGCTTGCACTGTACTTTCTTAGGGAGCGCTTCCCAACAAAGGAAGAGGACTTCTTCATTGGAATAGGCTCTTTCTGCAGAGAACGCCGCATTGAAGCACTCTTTATTAGCCTGTATATGCTTGAATTTCTACTCCCTCTATTTGCATTCGTGTATGAATTTTTTTCAATTGCCAGTCTAGTATCTGAACAACCTTCATCTTTCTTCGCCTGAATGTCAACCACCGTATTATAAATCATTGAAGCAGCAGAAAAATCCATTGATATTGATCTCCTAACGGGTTGCAATTCCTCATCCAACTTCACCCTATTATCAACCAAATCACTTAGTACACGTAGCTTACCATTCCTCAGATTGGGACTAATTGAGTTTTTATGCAAAAGGTCAGCCAGTTTCCCGTCTTCAATTTGTATTGGTGATTCATTTTCAATCCCAACCCTCATTTCTCTTGTTTCATCTGTTTCCACTACGTGTTGATCCAATTCACCATCTATTCGAGCCTCTTCCCTCGAACCTAAATCATTCGAATTTGTCAACACTGAGTTCCCCGGAGACGTATTCACATTGCTGACTATTGGAGCGCGGCAAACAGGACAATTTTGATGAGATCTTAACCAAGTATCTATACAAGGTAAATGAAAAGCGTGGCTACACTTTGGCAAAAGCCTAAGATTCTCGTCTTCTTGAAACTCATTCAAACAAACAGAACAGTCTGTCCCTTCAATCAAACCCTGGCCTTTTTCATACTTAAACACAGAAATAGAATCAATCACTGATTGTTGAAGCCCAACAGTACGAATATACCATATGGGATGATTCACCACTGGCCCGTGATTCTCATCAATAAAATCCTCCCTATTGTTAGCATTCTCTACAGTTTGTGAATTTCTCCTCCTAGAATTTCTCAAATTCCAACGGTATCTACGGATTGTGAGATAGACAAGAAACATAAAAGCAGCCGCAAGAATACAAAGCATAAGAATCAAAATGGTGGGCATATGATGCTTTGAGCTAGGTGGAGATGAAATTGACCGAGTACTTGTGTTCTTGCACTTATTGTAGGGGCATCCATTATAACAGAAATTACAGGGATCAAGGCCCTTATCAGGTTTAGGAATTTTATCTTCTGAAAAAAGTTTTCTATGATGATAACCCATCAAGAAATTATTCAAGATTTCAAGAAACAGAGAGGAGAATCAAAGAGGAGATTAAATTAAATAGTTACCTTGTATGTAAAAAGAACAAAGAAGACGAAATTCTTTCTGAGAGTTTTCTTCCAAACCATGCTATTTTTCTAGAGGTTGGGGATGAATATGGTGGAATTTATTGTTAATTTCTAGATTTCTCTATCATATTGGCTGAGATTTCATTTTCAATGCAACTGTGCAAGACGCTCACCTGTGGTTTCAGTTTCGTTTGTTATAGTCAATGTACTAGTTGTTTAAAGAATTACGCGTTTAGTAGTGGTGGGGCAAGTCACGACAAAATTCCAAGCCTAGCTTGAAGGTTTTTATTATTGAAATAATATAGATTATTTTCATAATTTAATAAGTAATTAATTCAGCAAGTAGACTATAACCATAAGCGGCAAAAATCATTTGATACCATAACTGTAATGCTGTAATTAATTCAGCAAGTAGACTATAACTATAAGCGGCAAAAATCATTTGATACCATAACTGTAATGCAATTTGGGTTCCTATGAGTGATATTAATATGAGCCGCGCTATTCGCACCAAAAATGGTTGACATGTAGGTTGACAGACATTCACAATGTGGGCTCCACTTTTTTTTGATTACGCGAGGCCGCCGAATGTGAGAAGTTGTTAAATTTATTGTCATCCATTTTCGTTTCAGATGGAAAATCCCTATTAATATATCATACAATTACAACACCTTTATAATTTGCATTCTTTATCAATGTGTTCTTGTGATGAAAGTTCGATCTCAAACGAAAATAGTTTCATTTTTTAAGAGCATATCTTTACAATAAGTGATTTTTTTATGTCTCATTACTTTTTATATTTTGTGGATAAATTTGTACAATTTTGAGCTACAAGACGATTTCATGCAGTTTTCAATATTATAATCTCCCATTAGGTATAGATAGAGTGGTTATGGGAGGTTGCTTGCTAAATTTTCTAATTTAAATATAAGCACATAATATACAGAAAAAATATTTTGTTGAAAGAATACTTAAACCACGTGCCTAACGACTAACTTAATTAAAAATTTAAAGGTTGAACCCCAACCTTGAGGGCCCCCACCGATCCTGCCCTGAGCCATTGTGGAGGAGGTAAATCGCAGGATGTGCCTCCCAGGAGCCAAGGTGAAGAGTTTATGGATAGGCCTTGAGCTTTTAACTTTATGGTAACTCTCGCTTGCAACAAAGTCAATTATGCTTCTTGTACATAAAAATGACACATAAAGGATTACGTAAGGGCAAAAATTGGACGAAAAGTTGGTTGTGTTTTAAACTGTCAAATGGTAGAATGTCATGTGATATTACGTAATCTCTCATGTAAATATTTATATACATGTAGCAAAATCCAAAATTTAGTATATGCTAGAATTTGTACTGTTGAACCTGTGGTTTACGGCATTGAAGATATGTCATTAAAAATTTATTTAATATCTAACCAGATATTGGGCCCATAATTTAGGCCCACGACCCATCAAGAATTTCAGGCTATGGCCCTCTAGTTATATCTCTCCACATGTATTGTCCACACTTTGAGATGTTGGGGTTGCGCACTAATTAAAGAATATTATTGGGAAGCATCATGGTGGTGACCCGTGTTTCGGTGGCGTAATCAAACATTTATTTTTAAGGAAACTACTTTCTAGCTAAATAAGCTGAATTAGTGGGCCTAACACTAGTCCTAATCTCTAGCCTTGCGAATGGTGTGTATTTTCTGCAATTGCTCTGTTGTGAGATAATGAAGAAAAATACAGCAACAACTGGGCTGAAAGTTGCAACTTCGTTAATCTTTTAGCTTCTGCAATTATCATTATCTTTTTGTAATCTCAAGAGGCAGGGATGGGTGCCAAAGTCCTTCTTAAAATTTTGTTATTTTAGAGTGTGTTTGAGCCACATTATTTTAAAAGAATGTATTATGAAATAGTAGATTGATGGAGAATGTGTGGTTGAAAATGAAAGAAAATTTATTGATGTGATGAAAAATATTATTTTATTGAAGAATGTGTAGTTAAAAATGAGTAAAAGAATGAGAATGAAAAAAATAATGTGTACGAAACAGGGGCTTAGTCTCGTAATGAAACTGATAAATTATTTTATCATTCTTTGGCATTATCCCTGTTGTGTTGGCTAAATATTGTGACGTGTCTTTGTGAGGTGGATCAATTTCATCCGTTTGGCACATGATTATTTGTCTTACGCACTTTGAAAGGATTGTGCTAGTTGATGTGTATTATGGACCATAATACATTCTAGTCGTGTCCCTTTCATAGTACAATATTTGAATTTAAATTTCAATTTGAATTCAAATGAATATTGGGTTCTATAATTACAAGACATCTTCACCTATTCATTTTTGGACTTGGCATAATAAAAGAAAGAAAAGCATAGAGAGGTAACCAAGTGGGAGAAACTCATATTTCCAACGAATTTCTTGGTGGCTTCCGACGAATTCATTTCTCGGTATATTTATTCCAATTTCCGTGAACAACGGTGCATCCAATGAAACAAAAATCTGAGTTCAAAGTCATATGACAACACTCCATTAGTAGTGTTGAAAAAGTTTTGAGTCTTTTTTGTTCGATTTTACACTTTGAAAGTTTATATTTCCGTATTGTAGTTGTAATAATCATTTCTTCACTACATTGTAAACTCTACAAATGGTATTAGAGTTTAGGCTAGTGGTATAAAATATTAAAACAACCTGAAAATTAGACTGGAAGTCGAATGGGTTCGATTTTGTTTGCAAAAAGGTTCGACCAAAAATACAAACCCATTTTCCGGCAAAACCACGCACCTGGTGGACGAACGGCAACAACCACCAGACTTCAGAAGACAAGCAGAATCAGACGGTGCCGCACTTGAGGCGGCGCATGAGCACCACGCGCAGACATTGAAAGTATATGAGGCGCGTGTGGAGGATTTAGCCAGAGGTGAAAAAAGACAGCTTGTTCCTTGTGACTTTTCTGACCTCCTGGTGGTATCGGATTTCAGTTAGTGCACTGTGGAAGCAGATATAGCCTCGAGCAGAAAGGTGAAGTGGAGAAAGCTTTTCCGTTGGTGGCTCAATGGTGTTTCCTGGGATTGCTGCATCTCTTGGATAACTTAGGGCAGTTATTGGAGGCCCTAGATCGATAAAGACTCACATATCTTCTTAAAATACGAACCGACATATTGGTTCGCTCAGTTTATGCTTTCTAACACCCTCTCGAATTTATAATTGAGATATTATGTTATTTGCTATTATATCGTTGTTTGACTCTTATGATATTGTCTATGTGTTACTTGTTATGATATCATCGTTTGTGCCATCTTGAAAAGTAATTTATACATAACAGGTGGCGTTGGGGCCTCAGCACCACCGGGGTAGCACGGCAACTCCGTGCATGGCGTTGCACAGTCGGGCCAAAATTTTTATGGTGCCGCGGCGTCCACTTTAAGGTCCTTTACTACAAAAATCTTGATTTTCTTCATCTCAAAATTCTCTTCAAATCCAACACAAATTCCTACTCCCAATAGATTTCCAAGTAGAACTTCAATTAGAATTTGTCAAATGAAATTGAATAGAATTTCACAATTGCATTTCAAATAAGATTATTCTTAATGTGCACTTGAATTAGAACTTCCAATTATTTTTAACAAAAAATTCGGATCACGCTCAAATTCTAATAATTTGTAATCTAATAAATTAAAAAGAGATAATCAAGTAAATCATTGAGCAGACAACTGAAAAATAATGCAGTCTTAGCCTCTTCCAAACGTTCAATATTGGCCTCTCATTTGTGGTGTTTCGTCACACATTGCACTATACGATTAAATAAAGTTAAATGTTGCAAAATGACAAATTGTGAGATGAGAAAAAAGTACAACCGAATTATCTATCTTCTAATCATAGAGCCTTGGATATTCTGGCTGCCAAACAGACTCCAATTTACAACTGTTCTACAAATATTCTATACAAACCATACACTAAGAGTCTAAGGGTCGGCTTGATTGCAAATGTGAAAAATGGGTGGAAATAAAATATTTTACAGGAAATTGATTTGCCTAAAAATTATTTTACTGAAAATTATAATTAGTTGTGTTTGATTGATATAATTTTTCATGGAAAATGTTGAAAGTTTGGTGTCTGTTTGACTTCTTTTTTTATGAAAATTGTAATGTTTTGCATGGAAATTGTCAATAAAAGTGAATTTTTTTTTTTTTACCATTGTGTCTAGAATTTGTTCTCATTGCAAAAAAAAAAAAAAAAAAAGAAAAAAAAAATCCATTCATTTGGCTTTGTTTTGTATGGAAATTGTCAATAAAAGTGAAAATTTTTTTACCATTGTGTTATAATTTTTTCCAATTGCCAAAAAAAAAAAAAAAAACCTGGAAAATATTTACCTATAAAAATATCAAGAATTTATTTTCCTCAAAAAAGTGGAAAATTTGGAAAGTTGGAAAATATTTTCAGGGGAAAATTTTGCCTATCAAACACTACAAAAGTTGGAAAATGAAAAAAAAAATTCTATTTTCCATGAAAAATGCGTGCTATCAAACAGGACCTAATAGGTTTATATATTTTGGCCCTTGTTTAGCCTTGCTTTACCCCTTTATTTGCTTTGAGCTTTTGACTATATTTGAGAAAATAAAACTTATTTCAAGTATTATTATTTTTTATTATACACTTCGTATAGCAAGATTTGGCGAGATTACGTAGTAAATAAACAAGATTTAACTTATCTTTTATTTTATTCACTATAATCTACCTTAATTAACAAGTCCAGGTAATAAGGGATATGCAATAAGCTTCCAAATACAGGGTTTATATGGATGGCTAAAAAGTCTATAATTTAATAAGGTAAACTTTCGCATAATTAAATAACCAAAAAATGAATAACATATAAGATATTGGACTATGTTGATTTTTTAAAATGAAATCCAAGTTTTTGAAGTCGTGATTTTGGGAGTTATGTCAAAGAAGATTAACACGAGTCACGATAAAAATAACCTGTGAAGATCATTTCACTTAGCTCCCAGTTATAAAATGTGCAAATTATTTCATGATCTCAAGTCATATTTTATCTTATATTCGAATAAAAACTCCATTATTGGATTAAAAAAATAAAAATAAACTAAGATGAGATAGTACAGAGTAACAGTGGTTAATGCCAGTTTGACATGATTTACATGACTCGACACTGCAAAGGAGTTTATTTTGGACTGAAGCAAACCAGCAATATGTTTGCTTTCTAGCCTGGTTCCTGCATTCATGTTCTTGCCTCTCTCTTTTCGTGTCTGCTTTTTTCTAGAAAATGACAAGAGAGGATGATAATTCTATTGAAGAGCTACTATGTCGTCATCACTCATTTATGGAAAAACTCAAACATGTGAAAAATAATGAATTTGATATGAAGATTAAAATAAATATATAAATTTCTTTTATATTCAAGAGTTTAAAATTTTAAATGAAGTTATTGGAAAATGATTGTCATATTTATTTATTTAAGAGTAAGAGTGAATATATTTTAACATTAGTCAAAGGAGGGGGATTATGAATAGAACTTAGCTTATGATTTCGCAACTTGAATAGTTTCATCACACCCTAGCAAGTAAATATGTTTTTCTTTAACCAAACTTTTAACATGATTGGTCATAGTCACCCACTTCTAGATTCTTGATCCATTAACACTACTTTTTTTTGCCTACTTAAATCAAATCTCCTTTATGTCATTCTTAGTAGTTAGAGATGGCAACAGAGCGGGTTCCCGCCCCGTCCCGTCTTATACGGGGCGGGGTGGGGGCGCGAGCCTACCTCTTTTTTCTTTTTATTTTCAGTTAAAATATAAATTTTAAATTTTAAAATTCAAAACAAATAATATTCAAACTAACTACATCAATATCCAAAATAAGCACTCGAAACAAAAAAAGTACAAAACAAACAATGTCTAAAATAATTTTTTTTTTTTATTATTCGCCCTGGTCGGGACAGGTTTTTTTAGGGGCGGGTTAGATTTTTTTGCCATAGAACATGACTTTCAAGTGGGAAAAAAGTGAAGCTTCCCAGGCAAAGGGGTTAGAACCTTCTTTTCAGGAGTGGGAAATCCTTGTTAAAATTATGGGCTATGTAATGATTAATACATTTAATTGGAATATATGCAATAACTGGGTGCGAGTTTTAAGTACAACGAGTGCATAATGAAAAGTCGTGGCACTTGGGTAGAGTGTTATATGGATTGTCAAGTCATATTTCAATTTGAAATAACGTGATCTAATTATCCAGATTGATTTGTACCATTTCATGACCAAAACATCGATTCTCTTCACATAGTCCCCATTAGCATTTCTCAAAGTCTTGGTCCAGATGCAGCCCACATGGTTAAGATGAGACATCATTCTTATACCAAGACCTCGTATGAACTACAAAGACAATTATAAGTGTTGTGCTGACAGCATATGTATGATTGTCTTTTTCTTTTTCCATCTCCCAATGAAAAAATGCCAAGTCTCCTCACCCTTGTAACGTAGTTTTTCCAGTAGGCCAAACATTTCTCTAAATGAATTGGTTTGGGCCACGTAGAAGTTAATGTCATCCAAAATTGAATTTTTCATCCCCTCCTTATTTGTCAATTTCACAAATAAAAAGTATATTAGATCCGGTGTAGAATAGCAAAGCAATTTAAGACAACACAACAATAATAAACACATGGATCAAAATGCATAATCTGTGAATGCAAGAATAAACCAAGCCCTAAAATTAAAATCAAAATCAAATTCTAATTATATATTTTTGCCTTTGTTTTTCTTATAAAAAGTTGTGCCTATAGTTAATAAATTGAAAAATATATATATAAGGATTACGGACAATTTTTATTTAGAAATACTAAAAGTATCAAAAGTTTAACAAATTAAGAGCCTGTTTGGGCACGATTTTCTCCAAGATTTTGAGTGAATTTTGTATCGTTGGAAGCAAATCAAGTTGAATTCTTTGACTAAGCTTGAGAGAGTGAGACCCATGAGTTTGAAAAAAAAAGGGTAAAAAAATCACTAAAATTTTTGTAAAAGGCAACAACAGACACACCCTAAATTTACCAAAGAATTTGTTAATTTGTTTTTCAATAAATAGATTAATAAAAATATAAAAATTAAATTCTAACTGGAAATTATATCGGAAAGAAAATAAAAGTCAAAAAATAACTTACAAGTCGATAATATTATAAAGAAAGAAGAAAATATATTTTAACTTATCTATCACGTCTTATAAAAAAATGTGGAGAATAAGTAAAATTTTATGAGTGACGTCGAAGACAAGAATGTAAAATAATTTGCTTCATTAACTTACTTATTATTGTTCTCGAAAAGGCTCCAAATTGCTTGAGTGGCCTCTCATAATGCACCTTAATTTTTATGGAGTCGTGTATAGTGATTGATGAGTTTGGCCTAGAATGTAGAGGTCCATTCATCTTAAAAGACCTGATTTCTAAAGAAGAAGAAAACTATTGTACAGGTTTATAAAATGGACTTGTATTTATGTATATGGTATAAGTCTGTTATTACTAGGGTTTATTAGGCTCATTTCTGTTGAAAATTAACCCCAAAATATGGCTCTCTCGACTCTCAACCTTTTTCTCCATTTCTTCTTCGGAGAGAGGTGCATGGTAACGTTGATCTACTTCATATTTTTAGATGATAATATCTAAAGAAACTAAAATTATTGCGTAAAGCTCAATCAGAATTATAACCTTTAGCTTGGCATAAACTTTCCGGTGAAAGATGTGCTGCCAGCAATGCTAGTTGCCTATTTTCAGGTGTTCCGCTTCGCTCCTCGGTGGCAGTAGTTGCTGCTCAAGGATCTAGGAACAACGCTAGTAAATGGCAAACGATGGCCTGGAGTTGGTTTTGTTGCTACAATGTGAATTCATAAAGTTTTCTCCAGTCATTATCGAGTGTCCAAAATAATTTCTCCAGCATAGAAGTATAATATGCAGTCTACTAATCCATAGTCATTAAAATTGGACAGGACCAACCAGCCCATCTCTCGAAAACAAATAAACTGGCCAGTGTACCGATTTGAATTGTAGTACTGAACTGTTTTACATTAGGCCCCCTATATGGTTTAACTAAGAATGTTGATAAAAATCTAAATCAAAGTCCACAATCAATTTTAATCATACATTTCATGAAACTCACGACTTTTAAACCAATATCTGATTTTTATCTAAACCAAACAGGGGCTAGAACAGTTATAACATGGAAGACCGGTAAAAGCGAGCAGGTTCACATATAAACCAGGACTGATTCAATATGGCAAATATACCACATGAAATAACTGTTTTCAGCTGCAAATTTTACAGCCTGGAGACGCAATATATTACTGAATAAAGCTGGACCAAAAGAGAGCGATTTTACTGAGCCAGTTACAATTAAGTAAAAATGTCTAAAACTAAGTAATTCATCTACTACTGATCATTAATAGAAAGAAACACCACCAACAATATCTAAATGGAATCTAGAATTCAAATTTTTCTACTACAGCAAATGCAAATAAGTTTAAAACGGAAATGATTCCTAGTAGAACATAATTTCCTCTGTGGACTCTCCTTGGCAAAAGAAATCAGGAACCATCTTCATAAGCAGAAATCCACATCTTCTAGTATGGCTTGTTGGCTTAAAAAATAAATCATTTCAGAAGTGACCTGCGGAAAAAATACCTTTACAAATAACCAACAGGATGATCAGCAATAATTTACCAAATAAATGATAGATCTCAAGTCAATAGGAGAATTCTGTTTTCCCATGCCCATCAGATGATCAGCAATAATTAAATCGAAGGAATGATAAATATCAAGGCAATAGCACTGCTGGTTCCCACGTAGCACTATTCTGTTCCCACGAACCCAGATAATTTAATGCCAAAGCTCACTACAGAAACCATTTCGTGGTGTCTTGCTGGATACAATATCTGAAAAAGAGTCAACCAACTGTCCTGCCAAACTACTTGGATCATCAATTAGAGTTTGTATAAAAGTATTGACTACTCTACGTTCCTGCTCTGTGGACCTAAAGCTGAACCATGTGAGAAACTTCAATCTAAACTCCTGTTTAATATGACCCTCACATTCGAGCCAACGAATAATCTTTACACAGTATTCGAAGTTCTCATCCAAGGATCCTGGCCCATTGTAGACTTGCAATTGTGATCCATTTGTTAGAGTGCTATCAGAATCCTGCATCTCTCCATTGCATATACGTGTTCTCTTCAGGCCAGCTTCTACCTGGGACTCAACAGCTGGTACTTCCCCATTTTTCCCATGATTCCAGTTGTGGGAATCACCACTGCCATGTGACCTTGCTAAACCATTCCTCTGAAGATCATGAGAGAAAGCATCGTCATCTGCTTCAACACCCTGCACTAAACCACATTCATCATCTCTCGACGACTCGACTGGAGGGGTGAACTCTTCATTCAGATCAGGAACTGAAGCAACATTTAGGTCAAGCCCACGTCGAAAGGATGGCAACCTATCTTCTTGTAGAGATTCAGGCTTAGCATCACAGACTCGACAGCCTTTGTTAATATCTAAACCACAGAATCCCCTGAAACCTCCCTGTTCTTGTATGCAAGCTAACCTTAAGATCTTACCGAGGTCTCGAACTTTAAAACCAGAGTCCAATTCGATGTCTGTTTCAGTCATGTGCTTCGTTTTGGCACTAGGGCTTCCTCCATTGTCTGAATTCTCCTTCTGATAATTTACTGAAACAGACTCAAAGTTCTTGTGAACTATCTCTACACTCTTTGTAAAACACCTGGCCTCAGAGTGTCCAAAGTCACCAGCCTCTGTGTAGGATATAATTCGGAAGGTATACTCCGTGCAAGGCTGCAGGTTAGATATCCAAATCCTCCTCTGAGATCTTGGAAAGACACAGACAGGCTCTTTTCCATGAGTCTCTTCTCTCGTCTTACAATACCAGAGTTTATAGCCCTTAATATCATCAGAGGAAGCAGTAGATAAGTCTATCAATATAACTACAACAGAAGATGATGTTACTTCCTCAAAGAGGAATTTGCAAGCTGCGGGAAGAGAATCCTCTGCCAAGGGAGCAAACAAAAAACTTTTACTCCTATTACATCGTAACTTCATTTGAAATACAGAAAAGTAAAATCGAAAGTAGTACCAATGCAGTTCAGGGTAGCACTAGATTTTGAGGCCAGCAATTCGTCAGCTTTCTCAATGGCAAGGGAGCAGATTGTCTGCACATCACCAGCTACAGATAGCCTGCTGACAATGCCACGACCCATTTTGGATGAAACGCCATTCAATAGGCCCACCTCCGTTTCTAACTTGGCTTTCGCTTCTTTAATAAATTCATGGAGTTCTTCAAATCTGGAAGTTCCATCCAGCAGCCTATAACTCAAGAATATTCTATAACACAGGATATCTACACGTCGAGCTTCCTTAGCCACAGTTAACTGCTTCTTCCAGTATCTGCCAAAATATACTCGTGAGCTACAAAACCAGAATAAATGAGGTCCAAATTAATGGTAACTGTAACCAAGTCAGATAGCATGGAACTCTATGCAAGTCATCTGGCTACCTAAAAGAAATAATACTAGAATCCATGTCAAGTAAGATTTTACATAAACACCGAAAATGTTTATTGTATAAACAATGTTACTGCAGCAATTAATAAAAGTCACAGAACAAGTGGAAAGACCACCATTATAAACGATGAGAGAAAAGACAAAACAAAATCAGTTAGGAAACCACATAATTTATCTGAAAACAAATATCCATGAAAAATGTTAAACTAGTCAATCCCTTTTGAGACCCTTGAAGGAAAGTAGTGCGTATTACCTAGCTGTTAAAGAACACGATGAACAGAAAACATGCATTTCAGAACTTTTCCCATGTTGCTATAGCTCATAATATTGACAATCGTGATGATGATTAGAGACAAACCCTTGTTGAGGCCAAAGAAGGCAATGACACTCGTTACAAACTAAAACGTTCGCATACGTATTATAAGTACAGGTCATTATAATATGTATATGTAATGTGTGAGGCTCCCTTTTGATGCAATTATCTATTCGCCTACGATGATGATAACAAAGACTACAACATAGATGATCTCGATGAGCCTACAATTTATATTTTTTTATAAGAATCTATAACAGGGAAGGAAATAAGGAAAATAAAAAGAGAGAGAGAGAGAGAGAGAGAACAGAAGACATGCTGTGGCATGAAGAGGGAATATCCATGCCCTCATAGGTAGCAAAGTGTTATCATTACAAAACGAAACTCTAAACATTTAGCAAAAGAAGTCCTCTATTAAATGATGTATTGTAATCCACATTTAAATATTATTTAAAAATTTATAAAAATAAAAGGACTACAGTAGACAAGTGGCTCATTTTTAATTTATGTATCTTCTGAAACTTGTTTCGCGTGCAATGCTAGTGGAAATATTAAAATCGCCTTCGCTAGAACAGGCCACAAAATGGGAGAGAGGGTGGTGTGTAATATAATGATCATGTTGAAAAAGAACTTACCCAAGTATCCCTGAAACTTTGCCACAAGAAGCACAACAATAGCTTCCATCCAACTGCATCAACTGCCCGAGGTTAACAACTCCCACCTTCCCATGTTGGAGGGCACATTCAATGTGGCAAGATAAGCCACAGGAGTCTTCCAGGCCAGATTCAGAGGTGCATTCCAACCAAAGACTTGGGTCCTTGTTGTCATCAAATAAATGACAGATGCAGCAAGAGCACCTCTTGCAAAATGTGTCATCAATTGAAAGAGTTGCTCGACAGGCAGAATTCTTACAGATCCATGAATCCATACATTTAAAATCGGGTGTTATTTCTGTAGCTGGTGGAATTCGAAGAGGGTTTTCTCCTTTCCGAGGTTGTTTCTTAGCAGGCATATCCTTAAGATTTGAAGCTGCTCTCTTGAGGTCGGGATTCTTTAAAGACTTCCTATTAGCCTTTGGATGTACTTCGGCCATTGTACACTTAATGAAGCTGACTTTCTTATTCTTATTATTTACTTCGGAAATATCTCCTTTCGTCAGATATCAGGAGCAGTTACGGGAATCTTGAAGCATTATCCAGGACTCCACTTTCATCTGTATTTCTTTGCGCCCAAGATGAATCATGTTGGCCACCAGAAACTGGATAAAAAATTAATTTAAAACTTCAATACAAAGGTATCAATAGCATGGGCAGTAATACAGGAGTAAACTTGGGCACATAATGCTGGATAATTAATAAAAAACATAAAATAGCTCAATATAAAACCAACTTTGGGTAGAAAACAACCAAGCAAGAAGAGAAGAGAACGTATGCAGAAACCGTGCATGCCATATGTCAGATAGGCAATATATATGGTTTCCTTGAAATTATCTTCACTCAAATACAAAAAATTTCCTACCCTTATTTATATGTTAATTTCAGTTGTAACCTCACAAATCACAGCCACGAGTTTTTTTTTGATAGGTAAATAAATAATAATTTGTTGGCGTTGCCCGGACACAGCCACAAGTTAAAAAGATTGATTATGTACTAACAAAAGAAGACAATTTATGGAATTAAAGAAGACATTTCATCGAATTAAAATTGTACCGATAATGTAAGAGAGATAACATTCTATACTATCATGCTTCTAATTCGTTTCAAGACAACAAACTAGATGAGGTTTTGAAAACTCGATTCAATGTAAGTTTTCGGTGCAAAAATAATAAATATAATTGCCTCTAAATATATTAAGAAAAAGACATTATTTGCTGTGATCGTTGTGGTTTTACGGAAAGAAATATTTTGTACTATTTTTGGATACGGTAATTTCTTTTCCACAACTTTTCCTCTTAAATCAACTATAAGTATCTGATGATAAGGTGCCCGTGCCCATGGGCCTTCAGAAATGATTAACAGCCCAAGTTAATTTTGGAGAAATACTAGCTCCTAGCTTCCCTTCGTACTGTAACCTAATTTTACCAAAGTCATCTCTGTGTATCAATACCTGTAGAAGAACTACTCCAGAGAAGGGATGGTAAATTGATATTTTACTTGTCAGGTTTTCCTCTAAATCTGTATATAAACAGTTTTGTTGACTCTAAATTGAATAAACACTCTTTTCTATTATAAAGTTTGGTTTACTTTTCAGTTAAATTGGTATTCATAGATTGTGCATTTTGATCTGCAAGGTTTTCGGAGACAGCTTTCGTATGTTGTACCCAATTTATTATCCTCTTTCGTTTGTGAAATCAACGAAAGGAAAAAATTGTTTAATGGACCTTGTTGCTACTTTCATTGTTTAAGAATCCCAATTGAGGCCCACTTTAAGGCCAGCCTCAAAGCCAGGCAAATAAAAAAACATCTAAGGCAACACGCTAATTATGAGACAATTTTTGACAGTGCATGCCTCAGCTGAGTGTAATGCACGTTTGTGAGGCATGCACTCCTTATTCTCAATACTTATTTACTTTGCTACCTAGGAATAGCCAACTGCCCAATTAGTTATTATTAACACATTAAAAATTGTGTTTTCTGATTAATCCTCCTTGGGAATCTATTAACACAGTTTAATAGGACACTTCTAGAAAAGCAATAGAGTTATAATCGAAGGATTCGAGTAGAAAGGAAGTCTTTTTTGGCAAACAATATTACTTGTATTGATGAACCAGCTAATTGTCTACTATTTGGGATTTGAGATATTTATGAATAGAAAGTAAGCTATGAAGTTCAAGTTATTTAAGAATCTCATCCTTAGAACTAGTTTTAAAAAATGCGTAAAGAGTACATCAAGATATTATCATTTCTCTTACTATGATAAATATACTAAGCCCCTGTTTGGTAAAGATTAAAGTCTAACTATTAATCTAAGTCAAAATCAACAATTAATTTTAACAACATATTTTATGGGACCCACAACTTTTCAACTACACATTTCATCAAATTTTATTAAAATCTGCTAAAAAATTGATTTTAATCCCCACCAAACAGGGGCTAATACTATACAATCACGAGAGGTGTATAGTATTATGAGCTCTCTTCTAGTATACTCATTTTTCTCAAACCATTTGCCTAATTTTACTTTTAAAATGTATCTGATGCGTTATATTGGTCATCATTTATGGTTTGGGTCAATAATCACTTGCGAGCGGAAGGTGTTAGAGTGGGAAGGAGTTGTATAAGTTTGAATTCGACTCTCAACCTTGAAACTATTTTCTAGATTTGAAATCTTACAAAAAATTAGCACTTGGATTGTAAATTGAGTTCTTAGCCATTAGAGTACAACAAATTACAGATTTGGAGCATGGAAAAGCATGCCACATGATTATCTTGTAAATTATGCTAGTATAGTGAAGTTTTCTTGACACTGATGGAAATTAAGTATTAGCATGTAACATATTCTAACATCAAAAATACCCATATATAGTTCCACGACCATATTTAGCTAACCTTTAGCTGAGCTAATATTTGGCATTCGGTTTGGGCAACAAGACCCATGATCCACTTGCCCAGTTAAATGGAGAGTATTAGAAAAACATTTGGATCTTGCTTGTAGTAACAAAACATAATTTCTCTGCTAAAAGATTATAATTTAAATGCAGGATCATGCTTCCAAATTTATAGAAGATACGATGCAACAAGCAAGTCTTGTATTTTGAAATCTCTGCAACAATATTTTAATCAACTATATGTATAAAGTGAATAATAATACAACTGCACAACACAAAAATCCAAAATACTAAAAAGATAAAAGGATACAAATTTTTGAATGGGATAATATAGCAGAAAAAATCCAATGCTAAAAATAGAAGAGAATCAGTACCTGAAAAACATAATATCAAAATCCTGCAGCAGAGACAATCCTGATCTTCAGGACTCACAAATCTAGAGAGACAAGGACTTCAAGGTTTAGGAAATTTAGTTTATCAGTGTTGATACCTCGGACAACCATCTTCATCACTTGTTGAAGCTGTCATTGGATACCACACGCTTATGACGACGCAGAGATTATGGGGAGAAACTAACGGATAACAAGGGTAATGAAGCAGTGGGTGTTTGAGAAGTGAATAATAACCTATAGTTTACGCCTTGCAAGGATAATAGAAGTCAAAAGGAAAAAAAAAATAATTAGAGTCTTGACCCGTAAAAGTATATCATAAAAAACGGTGTGAGAAATATGGCAAAAATAATTCATATAAATAAAACATAGGTTGATAACAAAGTTAAAGCCAACTAAGATGTAAATTTAGGCTACAGGCTGCATGCTAGCTCAGTTGGCCTACATTTAGCTAAAATGCATCAACATGGATTAGGTCACAAAGGAATGGGTCAAACTTGACAACATGCATCCAGAACGTCTTTGGCAATCAATCCTAAATCTTTTCGCCATTTAACAAAATCTAACCCATATCTATTTCATTTTTCCCTGGCTTCAAGTAAATCAAGAGGAGAAGCAATGCTGAGCAAGTCCTACAATGCCAGATCAACTCTTACTAAATGGACAATTATACCTTCTCGTTGTATATTCTTTCCAAATATTTTAAAGAACCCTACAATATATTTTGAATCCAAATGAACAAAAAATGTTCATTAAAACCAAAGGGACCCCAAATGTATTATCCTTCAGTATGAATATCCTACGTGGGAAACTAGTGGACTACAATATATTCGCTATTTCATGACCAAAACATCCATTCTTTATACGCAGCAGTAGTCCCAATAGTATTGTTAAAAGTCTTGGTCAAGATGTTCCAAGACGTCCAGATAGTATTGTTCAAAGTCTTGGTCCAGATGTACCAAGACCCCCAGTGGTAAGGCAGAACTGAATTGGTTTGGACTACGTAAAAATCAATGTAACTCCCAAGAAACTGTTAGCTGAGGAGTCAGAAATTCGACATGGTTCCCTGAAAAATTTCCTCCCCCAAAATTGACTTTTCAATCCCTCTTTTATTTGTTAATTTCACAAACAAAAAGGCACTAAATCGGGTATAAAATAACAAATAGGTCTAAGAATAAACAAACAAGAATAAACACAGATCCAAACGAACAAATATGAATGCTAAATATGACTGAAGAAAAAATCAAACCCTAAATCAAACAGAGCGTAGACAACAAGTTTAGAGTCTATCGAACCATATAAATACAGATTCATAGAGAAAAAAACATATCAATTGGAATCATTTACCATTCCCTTTCTGAAGTTGTTCCTCCCCTCGTATCGAGAAAGAAGGAGAGAGGGGGTGAGGTTATGAATTTGATAATGTGAGATCACGGTACGACTACGAGGGGGAATCTAGGAGCTAGAATCTCTCCAAAATTAAATTGGGCCAACTGCACGTTTTGGAAAAGCCCATGGGCTCTCATTCGTCAGATATCCACAGTTGATTTAGAGCGGTTTGATTTTCATTAATTGGGGAAAAAAAATTTTGAATTGTAATTCAAGATAATTTGTCGTTAAAAAGTAAAAAAATTTGTGTACGTATAAAATATTTTATTGAGTGAATATGTGGTTGAAAATGTTCTTGTAACAAATTATAAAATAAATTAATGAGTGTCAAACATGCACTTAAGGAGAAAATGTCGTAGAAAATAAATGAATCTTGCTTCTTACTACATGTACATCAATGTTTATATAAAAGATTATATAATATCACATGGTACTTTATCATTTGTCAGTTTACCAATTTTTTCCCTTCAAATTCCAAAATAAATTACAATATCCAAAACATACACACTTGTATACCATAATACAATGACAAAGCAAATTAAGCTTTATTTTTGATAAATCTGAGGGTGATTATGCAATTATTTTTACGTTAAAAATAGCTCACAAAACCTCGTCTAGTAAATTGTCTTGAAAATAAAATAATGAAACATAATGACATCAAATGTTATATCTATGTTAACACGATTTTTAATTCCATAAAGGTCTTCTTTAATAATAGGGTTAAATGCACCAATAGCGCTATGCTTTCCTTAATGTTCATATTAGCTA